TTCCCATTAGTCTGTTGAATGGCTGTGTAACTCATTGTCTATGATATAGCATGGATAGGAGAATTGCAAGGGGCCAATATCAAATTGAAAATTGTTTTTATCATAGGTGTTGATTCTATGTTTGATGACGCTTTGGAATGATATCTTGCTCCTATAAATTTTTCTTCTGAAGGTGCCTAATCTTTGCATCAGAGATCTCGACAATAATGTCACTTTTGAGCCTGTATCTGTGGTGAGTCAAGTTCAGAAGCTTCAATGAGACAATGTGATATAGGTTCTGCATCGTTCGCTCTGAATTTATGAGAAGTTGTTGCATCACTGAATCTGGATATTCTGACCCCAGATGTATTTCTTTTCTTTTGCCTAGTTCTTGGCTAAAACTGCCTCTAAAATTTTGACTGTTTCTGTTGGTTCTCCTCTTGTATTGCAGTATCTGGGTTGAGGTTGAGTTGACCAGGTTCGCCAGTTAATTTTTGAGTCACCTAAATAATTTTGTCTTGCTCCATGTCTCCAATTGTTTCTTTGAGTTCACACGCCGCATACTATGTTTCTTGAATCATCTTGTTGGTCCCTAAATCAGTTTCTAGCATTGTTTACTCTATTATGCCAGAGAAATTTTGTCCCTTCTTGTTCTCCCTGATAACGATTTTGCTTTGCAAATGGGGAATTTCTATATCTGGGCTTGTCTTTTGAATTTTCCTTGACCTCTTAGTTTATTTAATTGTTCTTGTATTTGCCTAATTGTTTGGTTTATAGATCTATCAACATGTGAGGCTCTGGACAGGTCCGAACCCTCACTAAAATTTGCATTAAAATAATTGTTTTAGAGAAAAAAATATAGTAGTTAGAGAGAGATTTTTATTTTATGAAAACGCGATGCTAACTTTAAACAACAGAAGAATGTAAGTCCGTCGACCATTTCCGGTTGGAGATCGAATTAAACTTCGATTTTGACCTCTCCCGCACCCTCGAAAGGTTTCGAATTGTCATCGGATGACGATGAGAGACCAATCGGAAAGGGGAATCTGAGAGAAAACGGATAAAACCTCGGAAATTCAAGGACGCGACGGCTTCTCCCGAAAGTTCCAAGTGACAGATCTGTTGTTGTGTGTGTGTCTTGCACCCATCTTCGTCTCCATCTCCCGACCTCGGATCGATATCTTTCCATCAATGGAAGTCGACCGCATCATCCTGGAGTCGTCGAGACGTGATTGAATGGTTTATTCGCAAACAAGGGACACTCCTGCAAAATGGAACTATCTTGGAAAGGAGGGGAAGACCCAGAGGCCGCAACCGCCGCAGAACTTCCAAGATTGCGGAAATCTTGTAAGCTTCTTTCGTGTTTAATAAACGGTTGTGTTGTTTGTAAACGAAGCATCTGTCTCTGACTCAACTGCTTCCACATGTTGTTGATTGTTACCACTCGGCAATCCAAACGGCAAGGGAGATGATGACGATATATATCACATATTATCGTTCATTGAATATTTTTTAATGTCTCCCCCCTCAGCCCCCACAAACATAATCTTGTTGTCACTCTTTGGGTTTGCTGTTCAATTGATATATGGTTTACTTGCTGATCGCTGCTTGCACTGCCATATCAAAGGTGGCAGGTTCTCTGGACATTACCTGTGTTTTAATTCTATCATTAAGGCCACTTAAAAATTGTATTTGCAATAGTTTCTCCCTTTCCTTTTGCTGGCATCTTTTGATAATTTCTGCCTTGCGGACATTATTATTAGTTTGCTCAATAATAGATTTGGATATGAGAGTTTGCAGTCTGTGTATGTTTGTATGTTCTCATTGCATGCTTGTATGTACGCATAGAATTTCTTTAATCTGAGAAAATATGGTTCTTTCTCAAACTGCTTAATCATAAGCTTCTTAAACTCATCATACATACCTTTTTCACCTGTGTCTTTCCATGCGAAATCTCTAGCTATCCCAGTCATCTTTAATTTGGCAACCCTCAAACACTGCGCCTCCACCAAATTGGTTAATTTTGCTATTTTATTCAATGATTCAAAAAAGTTGGTAACTAAGTCCTGTTGGATCTCCCAAAAAGGAGGGTATTAAAGGAATTGGGTCCCCAATTTTGCCTGCCATGAGTGCACTTCCAGCTGTCTCTCCTTGCAAATGTCCTAAAGGATTTGTTTCTCCTCTTTCCTTCATCCTGTAGAACTTAGATGAGATTTAGCTTTCAAATCGTATCCCACTTATGACACTACCGTGACCAAATAGTCGGCACTGGATTGGTGATGCCTACATCAGGACTAACACCACTGTGTTTTAGAGAACACAGAAATTGTGATGGCAATTATGTCTTGTTTCACACACGAGTGATTGGATTTGGGATGTAGGACGTTTGAGAGTCAGTGCATTCTTTCGAATGCACTGACTCTCAAATACAATTCAAATTGAGTACAATTCGAATGTACTCGAATTGTAGTCGAGTGCATTCGAAAGAATGCACTTGACTACAATTCAATTATAAAAGAATAATACCTATTTATTTATTTACATTTAGATATATATTTATATACACACATAGGATAACACGTAGTATTTCTGTTATAGCTTCTACATAGCATAACAAAATTGATAAGGCTTTACATAGTGTAAGATATTTAATGAATTTTCTATATGGCAGAAAAGTATTATTGAGATGGGACCCTAGCTGTGAGAGAGAAAGTTTACATTTCTGTGCACGGTAAACTGATTGATGAGTCAAAATTGAGGTCAAACTATTGTAGATCACTTGATGAACATGTGAAGAAATTCAAGTTCATTGGGTTGGGCCTATTCCTAGCTGGTATAGTTCAAATGTCCAAAATGGCGGCAGAGGACGGGATTGGCAGTGGAAGGGATCGGTGATGGGGAAGCACACTCACATATCCTTTCTCAAGGAGGTAGACCAGTGAACTCTTTTTGTTGTCCTTGATGCTATTATTTTATTTCAGGGGTCCTCCCCCTTGATTTTGATGCCCTTTTTAGGCAATGTTAAGTGTTTTGACCAATAGATGAATTTCGGACAAAAGTTCCTGGTGACACACTCATTCAGAAGATGTGTTACCTTTTGAAAGGAAGTGACTCTGGGTGAAAGATGTAATCATATCCTCCCATAATTAATTAATGTTGGGAAAACTTTAAACAAATTTTAATTTCGATGAATAAAATTTTTTCCATCAAATCTGGACCCTCACACTCCCTATGTACCAGAAAGTTGTGTAAAAGAAGATAAGACTAAACGTAAAAGATTATATTAAGATCAGATATGATCTTAATATTATCTTTTATGTTTAGTGAACCATTGATCGAAGGATCTTGAGGTGTATCTGACGTATGCTGTATTGATTCTCCATTTTCCAATATATCCTTAGTCTTTTGCATCCATTGCTGCTGTTGTAGTCCATCTCTCTCTCTCTCCCTCTCTCATTTACTTCTATTGGAGTCTATCCATCTTCCTTCCTTACTGGCACTGGCTTACCACTTTCAACTGTCTATGCCTGAAGATTGCCCATTTACTGGGATGAAAATATTTGTGTTCTTTAAACTTCACACACTCTTAAAGATGTATTGATTAATTTTATTATTTTGATTTTGTTTTATGATCTAATATACTTTTTGTACATTAAAATAAAATTGGTTATTTTTATTCATAATGGAAGTTGAATATCAGGACTTCAAAACTTAAACTGTCTCAGTTTTTATATAATTCTACAGTTCTTATAATTCATAGAGTAAAACATATCTAATTGGATTAAATAAATACTCAAGTATAAAAGTGAAGATGAAAACAGACGAAAAAAGACTTGATAACAGTGACAGCAGTATTTTTTTTATTAAATATATCAGTTTATTAGTTATGAGTTGTTTTTTTACTTAAAATAATCTCATTTGTTTGTACCCATTTCTTTTATAATAAATTCAATTACTAATAAAATGCTAGTAAGAATATTAGATAATTCTGCATTTTATTATTAATGAAAATGTTTGATCTACCTTAACTAAATTTTCATTCTAAATATTTTTTATTCTTATGTTTGTGTTTTTGGTATTGGTTATTTTATTGTGAAAATATAATAAACCTTAGACTATATAACCACTATATTTATCATGTTATTAAATAAAAGAAACATTAATTGAGTGTAAACATTCCAGTTTGAATACTAATATATCATTGCATAATTCAAAATGTAATTATTTTTAATATGCTCTAAGATGAACTGGTATATGTTACATTGAAAAATTTTTAAAAAGTAATTATTTTGCTCTTAAATAAATCTATATTTTTAACATTTCATTTGAAAAATTAAAACACTTTTTTTTCTGACGATAAATTGCATTTATTAAATGATAGATAATCACAACATAATGAAGTTCTACAATGTACTCTTGACTTGTGCATTTTTATCTTTAGAAGGTTATCTTAATATGTATTTATTAAGTAAAACTTTAAACATTTATGAAATTAATACTTCTGTTTGCAAACTGTAGCATTTTGGCTAAAATTTATGCAACAAATAAATAAAAAAAATTCCTAAAATGTTGGCTCATGTTAGGAAAATAATCAAAACTATTTCCTTTTTATAAAAAAAAAACAAGATAACTGTATCAATAAAGAATTAATTTATTTATTTAGAATATTCTAATATTTTGATAAAATATTAATTAATTAAAAATGTTCAATATTTGATATAAATATTTAAAAATGATAACAAAAAATTTAATATATCTTGAAAATAATTCTGATTCATCTAATAATTCACATAATAATGAAGCTGACTTAAAAATGTGAATTTATAGTGCATTTAGTACTTGTTCTGCTTTGCAGTGCTGCATGGCAATTAAATAGCATTGTATTTTTAATATTTTTTATTATTAGTAGCAATGAAATTTGTGTTACTGTTTACTGTTGTTATTAAATTATATATAACTGCCATAAATATTTTTTTAAGATTTTAAAATAGACTAATTTATATTATTTTCATTTATCATAGGTCTTCAAGTAGTTCTCAAGTCCATCATCAAGGCCATGGCTCCACTTTTACAAATAGGCCTTCTGGTGCTATTTGCCATTGTTATATTTGCCATCATAGGTCTTGAATTTTATAGTGGGGCTTTTCATTGGACATGTTATAGTACAATAGATAACAGTAAATATAATTATTCTTTATTTAAATATAAATACATTTATTGAAATAATAATAGAGATATTCAATATTAAATCATAAAAATAAAGGATAGAATTTAGTTTAATTTTATATTATTATATTAAGAAATCATTGGAATAAAAATTAATTAAGAAAAAATGTATTGTTTTCTGCTTTATTATAGGCTTTACTATTTTTTTTAATCCAAGTACTTTTGGGCCTTTCAGCCCACCATCAAGAATAGAAAGTAAAAATGTTCATAATGTAGAATTTGAAATGCTAGCATTTCAAATTCTATGTGTTATTTCAAGAAGCAGTGAGTTATTTTCAAGAAGGTGTTATTTCAAGAAGCAGTCATTTGATATTCAAATGTTCATAATGAACATTTGAACATTAAATGACTGCTTCTTGAAATAACACCTTCTGTCAGATAAATTATCAGATGGAAATTTTATAAAACTTTTAAAAAAATTTAAAATGAATTTAGTTTTGAAAACTCTTAAAAGTTAGATGCCATAAATTTCTTTATAAATTTTACTTCTTCCAATTTATAATGAAATGTTCTATAATTGTTCATACTCAATCAGTCTAACCAGTTTCTTATTATCTGTTTTTTAAGAATTCTATGAATGTCAAATTTAACACAAAATAAATGCCTTCTAAGTATTAACACTATATTGAGTAATAAACATCCACCAACAAAACCTTTTTTATCAGTGTTGTATTTAACAAAAAACCCACTAATGTTTTCGGCCTCCACCAAGGCCTTCTTCAGGTGCTGAACTAACTGGTGTTCTTCTTGGACCATTAAAACAATGCTGCCCAAGTTATAAACATTGCACATATCACGTTTCACCCCTCTGCCTGACTTTGTTTGAATTCCTCGAACAGTATTGCCACACATGTGCAATCGTTTCCCCGTCCTTAAAGTTGATACAGGTTCAGCATCTGAAGAAGGCCTTGGTGGAGGCTGAAAACGTTAGTGGGTTTTGTGTCGAATACAACACTGATAAAAAAAGGTTTTGTTGGTGGATGTTTATTTATTGTCAAATTTGTTTCAAATTACAAAAAAAAACATTTTAAAAATTTGTTTTTTTCTAGCAGAAGGTGTGACTTTACAGCATCTGCTTGACAAGCTGGTGTTTTATTTGATTGGTGTGAATTTAAAATCCTCTAGCTTTCATATATCTTATGAATTTTTTCAATAATTTTCTTTTCTTGATGATGAGCTGAAAGGAACAAAAGTACTTGAATTAAAGAAAAATAGTCAAAATGTTTCCAATAATAAAAGTCTATAATAAATTAAAGTCTATTGTTTTCTGCTTTGAAAACAATAGACTTTAATGTTTGGAGAAGTAAGTTTTTAGTAAAATTAGAATACAATAAACTTAATAAAAAAAATTAAAAGAATATTTAATTTTTAACATTTTAATACTGAAAAAATTATTAAGTTATTTTCTAACATATACATTTTATACAGATATGATTAGAAGTTTTGCACTATTTATACTATTTAATATAGAATCAAGCATAGCACACAATTAATTTAATTAAATTTTTTTTTCCAGGAATGTTTTTCAATATATATGCAATTTAAGTTTTAAAATTAAAAACTCAAATGTATTCTATCATGCTAGAAATATTTATTTTCATATGCTATTTAGAAGTCTAACTTTGTAATTCATTGACTGAATTATAAGTTTACTAGCTGATGAGCCCAGCATTGCCCAGGAAAAAAGTAACAATAGCGTAGATTAAGATTAATACATTATAGCCAATCTTACCCGTTTTTTTAGAATGCAAGAATTAGGTTGCCCTGTTTCCAGACTAATTAGAAAATTTTTAGATGGGTCTAAAATTATTTTCGATTTCTCACAAAAACCCGCATTTGCACCTGTAAATCTTGCACGTTGCATTCTCTTAACATATCAATTGTTACTGAACCACTTCCATTGTTAACATTTTCACTGTTAACACCCTCTTCCTGAAGAATTTCGAAAAAGTCCTTCTTAGTGTAGTTGTCATGACACACCCTAACTGTACCAAATTTCAACCTTCAACTCCTAACCGTTTGGGCTCTGTGCTTCTTATTATTTGGAGTAGCTATTTCAAGTGGCAATTTTGGCAACTAAAAATAATATTGTCGACGATATCAACTTTAATATCCAAAATAAAATTTCCGGTAATATTCAAAAAAAAATTCAGAACTGGCAAGAACTCCTTTTAAGTTTAAGCATTGTATAAAATATAAATCAAATCAACTTTTTATTAACAAATACATTAAGTACACTTTACACAGTTTTCACACTTTATTTTCAATTTATATTTAGTCACTGTATCACTTTGACTACTCACACTTTATTGCTTGTTTTTATTCACTCACTGCACTATTTCAGAATTTTCACTTCTTTTTCTGTTCTTCCCTTTGTCACTGAAAAGAAACTGACGATCGAACCCATGATGGATCTTGCTTTATATACCCCCACTAATGAGTAGACCCACTCCCACCCATACAAAAAAAAAATTTGAATGGTCCACAATGTTCTAGAACATTCCACAACATTTGAGTGTTCTGGAATGTTCCACAATGATCTGGGATATTCCGTGATGTCCCCAAATGTTCCAGAACATTCTGGAATGTTGTGGAATGCTCTCGAATACTCTCGAATGTTCTGGACTGTTCTAGAAATTTCTAGAGGGCAAAAATTCCAGCCCTTATATCTTCAACAGCATGCCCTTCAGGTAAAAATGGGAACCTACTTCATGGATGGGGGATAGAGGGCTACCACACCATATAACTTACTTGATCGTACCGGGACTCGTTTTTGAGTTTTAGTGACACGCACATTGTACACTTACCTTTATTATATACATTGATTAAGATGAAATAATTGTTTATATATTATAAAATATTTTTACTTTATGAATTGATATTAATTTAAAAAATAGACATCCACAGTTGCCGTAAATAATCAGGCTATAATTTGGAAATAATGATTTTGAATTACAAATGAATTTGACACTAGAGGGAAGCGTTAGGCACCATCTTGTATTAAAATTAATAATTATAATATTTAATTAAATAATTTATATTAAACTGGAAGAAAAGAATTGGCCCAAATCAGGACTTGAACTCACAACTCTCGCTTACCATGTGAATGCATTACCAGTTATGCTACCTGGATCTCCGGTCTGATCTCCTCTTCCAGTATATATAAGCTTAAGATATAACTATTGTCAGTCATTACGGTGCCAACTGAGTATAACCAGTATAACAGTATAACCATCATCGCTAATGACCAACAATGTTGGCTGCAATTTTTAATCATATTTTAAATTAAATAAATTTAAAATATGCTCTTCACCTCAAATTAGTACTGTAGTGTCTTGCCCCTTCACCATAATGATCGATGATGGTTATATCTTAAGCTTATATATACTGGAAGAGAAGATTGGACCGGATGTTCAGGTAGCATAACTGGTAATGCATTTGCACGGTAAGCGAAAGTTGTGGGTTCGAGTCCCACTTCGGGCTGATTCTTTTCTCCCAGTTTAATCTAAATTATTTAATTAAATATTATAATTAATAATTTATATATGAGATGGCACTTAATGCTTCCCTCTAGTGTCAAATTCATTTGTAATCCAAAATCGTTATTTCCAAATTATAGCCCAATTATTTTCAGCAGTTGTGGATGTCTATTTGCTATACAACAGGTTTTGGTTGGTGTTTATACAGTAGACTCCCCTATAATGCTTAGATACGTTCCACGCTAATCGAATTTTACGTTGTAGGAATGATTAAATACATGAGCCAATTGCAGCCCGATAGGTGGGAACTTACGGACTAAGGCTGTTCGAAAGGTTTTCTTCTATAAAATTAACCGATTCTAGACTAATTCCACTCAACATTTCCAAAACACGTAAAATTTTTTGGGAGTAATCCGTATAAACTATGCTATAAACAAAAAATTATAGGATTACTTACCGAGTGTGTACCGTTCGACTACGCCGTTGCTTAAAGCTGGTTTTCGTTGCGGAACAGCACATGAAACGGCGGCTGCAATTTCTAATAACGAATTTTTCGCAGAAAAATAACTTGACCTTTGGAGACATCATTAATATAAATAATTTTTATGGCCGTTGAATAAGAAGTGTTTCTTTCACAAGAAATGTATAAAATTAGTGCTGTATTAGACTTACGGTACCTAATTTACATACTGTACAGACGATAATAAACTCAACTTACTAGCCTAAAATCTCCGTAGCGTGTTGCCAGGCGGCAGAAAGCATATATATAATTATAATAAAGTTACAATAAATTAAGTTAATATATAATTATATATACAGTACCTAATTTATATATAATTAATATATAATTATATGTACAGTACCTAATTTATATATAATTTATATATAATACTAAACAGACGATAGCAAACTCAATTTAGCCGCTCCGTAGCGTGGCGCAGGGTCGGAGGAAAGTAGTTCGGCTGCTCATCCACTATTGGTCCAGACTCTATCAATCTTGTCGTGAAACGACGTTATAGGAGGTATTTTATACGAAAGTTGCTACAATTTTTTCGCTACGTTATAGGAATTGTCATTATAGGAACGTACGTTATAGAGGGGTCGACTGTATTTGATATTAATTTAGTTCAAAAGTTAATATTTACTAATATTATTCTAAATTTAGAACTACATTAGTGAATATTATATGCTATCTATATATCTACACTGTAATTTAGTTCACAGTGATTATGTCGAAAAGTAACTATGTTTGTACCTAACTTTTAGTAATAAATTCATTTTGTTATTTATACTTGTTTATTTTTATGGATCATCGGAGGTTGAAAAAAGACATCCTACGTAGAATTTAATTCTTCAATAAAATTTATTTAGAGAAAAATGGCATTTACAATGTTATGACATTGCATGCTTCATTTGTTTTCTTTTTGGTCCATGGTATTCTTAGGAGTCTTCTTCTTCAAACCCAGAACTCA